ATCTACGTAAAGAAAAGTAAAAAATATATATAATAATAATTTTTGTAGAAGCAGGATGCAATAGGTTTCACCAGCACGGTACGGCACAACGTATTATACATATATATATATATAAACGTGTCTTTCGATCGCACTAGAGAGTCGGGTAAATCTCACGGAACGATCACGATGCGAAGAGGACAAGAGAAAGGGAAGCACTTTGAATTTTTTCTACGGTAGACCAATTGCGACAGCGTTCAAAGCAAGGACAATGATCGGCAAACAATAGTACCTCGTTACGGACATGAATCCAAAGTAAGGGGAAAAGAGGGTGATAGGAAGGAATGGAGGGGTGGGAGGGAGACAGGGCGAACGTTTTATATAAGGGATATTATAGAATCGACGGACATCGGGCATGCTTAAAATTTAGACCCGATCTCGAGATTAATTATGATAATAGCGATGAAAAAAAGTCAATGTCGATTTTAGTTCCTCCAATTAAATTTTATTCAAAATCTATTTGACGGGACATTCTATGGCATTTCTATTCTCGTTTGTACCAAATCGAAACCCAGTTTCTAATTCCTTTTGAAAGTGAATCGACGCGGATAACCTTCCATCATAATTCGTATATACTTACTGTATAACAAAGAGAGAAGAAGCAAAATAGTTTACAAAATGGAGCGCGATCGATGAAACAACGAGATTGAATCGTAGGTACGAAAAATTTTGTTTAATATTTCTAAACGCATTCCCTATAACGATCTTACGAAAGTATAGCAAAACGAATTTATGAGCATAGTCTATAGGTATAAGCGTGATTTATGATGAAATCGTTACCGATCAAATAGACCGTTATTAAGGAGTCGTATAAACAGCTTACAACTCGTTTTTCTTTGCACAAGGGTAATCGAAATCGCAATTAATAAGATATAGAAGGTAATTCTTAAGAAATAAGAAAAAGAATTTAGGAAGACATTGAGAGGTTTAAAAGTAAAAAAATCGCTTCCATCTTTAAACATACCTTGAAGGAAAAGGAAGATGAGATAAATCTGAAAATACGAAGTCGTTCGGAGTTGAAACGTGCAAAGAGATATCGAGAGATCGTAACTTTCAATCGTTAATCGATCTAGAAGCTTTGGCAGGAAAAAGTTTGGAAAACACAGCCGATGTCGCGCGACTTCTGGGATTGTACGTCATGTCGCACGTGTGGTATGTGTTTACTCATATAAGCAAGAAAGAGATGAAAGAGAAGGAAAAAGGGGTGGAGGAGAAGGAGGAAGAAGTGTAAAAAAAGAGAGGAAAAGATCGACGCGCCTAGTGCGCAATTAGGGAGAAAATGGACGATCGTCGTGGCGAAAGCAGTTAAATCAGCGCGGACATTTACGAGCGGCGATTACGCTGCAACCAGAAAATTCCTGACTCGGTCACTGGCGGCCAAAACAGTTGCCTACGAACTAAAATTGCAGTCGTACGTTGCTGAAGAGACGATCCATGCATCGAAGAAACTCTCTCTCTCTCTCTCTCTCTCACTCTCTCTCTCTATTCTTTCACTTTTATGCAAAAAATTGTGATCTCGGATCGTAGATTTTAAAAAGTACTTACATTTATATATATATATATAGTATACCTATTACGAATTTCAAATAATTCTCATAAATCGATATGGTTTTGTAAAAAGAGAAAAAAAAAAGAAAAAAAGTAACATTATCGTCGATAATGCAAACAGGCAGATAGTTCCGTGGAATAGTTCACTATGAGAACACATAAAATGATTTCCGCATATAACTGAGATATAAAGGCGACGATCGTAAAGATGCCGCGAAGAACGGGTTGAGTTTGCAGCCAATAGTACTTTTCTCTGTCAATGCGGAATAATATCGTAAACGGTCGTAGTCTTTTCGCGTTTTACGATAATTCTTGAGGTAGAATCCGACGTTGCGGCGTTCGGGCGCCATTCCGTTGCACGAGCTAGTTACAGGCTGCTTCTGCACTCACTAATACGAAGGCAAACTTGCGATTTGCTCTCTAACGGTGCGTTCTACGATTTCTCTCGCTTAAGCGCAAAGTGAAATCTCACGTATGTTTCTCGAAAGATTTTTACGCTTTAAACAGTATATACTTAACTACTTGGGTTGAATGTTAATCGGATATCATTTAGAGAGTATCGAGAATAACAGTGAAGAAGCGAGTGATATGTCGTATATCAAGTCGCAGATGTACCGCGCGTAAATACAAACCGGCATACCATTTTAATTAACTCTTCGAAAGTTATTTTCATGGGAACTGAAGCTGGATTATTCCCGAGATTTTCAACTTAACGGAATAGAAACGTTCGATGTAATAGCGCGAGTGAAATACCGATTAAAAGGATCCACGTTAATTAATCTCTCCTGCACTTTACCCAATCGTCATCTTCCTTTTTCTCATCTACGTTCTCGAACATATTTAGTTATCGCGAAGTGCATCGACTTATATACGAGAAGCTGCCGTCGATCTTACCTACTTCGAATAAACAAGAATATAAAGTTTTCCTTTAAACCGCGTACCTATACGAGATCTCGCATTATAAATTGACTATTTTATTTGACGGCTGATCCGCGCGGTCGCAACTTAAACGATGTGTACCTTCCACGTCGTAATCGAAGAGGAGATATTAGTTATTCTTCTTCTATGAACAGGTAGTAGGAAATACCAAGTTCGTAGCTAGGTATATAACGAGCGACGAAATCGCAGATCATGTTTTATCAAGTAACGTACAACGTTATTTCCTCTAGGCAGATTTAACCAGTGACATCTCCTCCGCGACTTTTTCTTGCTAGAAATTAATAAGCTTTCTTCCTTTCTCTCTTTCTTCCTTTCTTTCTTTCTTTCCTTCTTTCTTCCTTTCTTTCCTTCTTTCTTCCTTTCTTTCCTTCTTTCTTCCTTTCTTTCCTTCTTTCTTCCTTTCTTTCCTTCTT